TCCTTTTCCTGATTAGGTCATTTAAATTCTCCCGGGAAGCCATCTTCGCGTTGATAAGTTACACGGAAGTGCCCCCTTTGTGCACTAAACTCGGATCTTGATTTTATTTAATTTCTCTATATAAATATATATCTTCAAGCATAATCAACACAAGAGAAGTCTAAATATGTTAGAAAAACAAAAAACAAACACACTTTCACATAAGAATCTTTTATTTCGATCAAAGCCATCTTCGTATTGATGAACACGGAAGTGCCCCCCTTTGTGCACTAAACTCGGTTCTAGGTTTTTTTTTTTTTTTTTTATAAATTTCTCTATATAAATATTATGTATATTTACACATAATCAACACAAGAAAGGTATAAATATGTTAGAAAAACAGAAAACAAACAAACTTTCATATTAGAATCCTTTATTTCGATCAAGTAAATGTGGCTTTGTCGTAGTACCGTAGTAGTCAGCGTAACCTATGTAAACAAGTTGCCCTGCGGAAGTAGTTTTACGCATGCGCGGAAGTTATCGTGAAACGGTCTATAATGTGTAAATGAAGATTATTATTTGGCAGCGTTGCGGAATCCGGAAAAACAGCACGTGGTAATATGCGGATTCTATCTATCACGTGATTGCTATTCGTGATATTTTTTTACTGTATAAACACAGCAATACATGTAGAATAAGCGGAATCATATGCGCAGGAAAAATACTGCTTTTCAATTTTACTTACTTTTAATATATAAGCATCGTGTTATATGACTCTATCATTGAAAATATTTGAAAACGAAATTCTAAAGTTTGTTTATTATCATTACATTTTTAAAATACTTTTTCAAGGCCAATCAAGATCAGCATCTGGAATTTCAGCATCAGACTGTGTCTCTTTCATATGGATAGTGGTGACTGCAATATCTATCACACTCAATACATTTGCTTGTGTTGCCTATGTATTTTCAAAAAGGTAAATTTAAGGCTTTGAAATTTTATATCTAATTTGTAGTTTAATAATGGAGATTTTTATCAATATGTAGCATATGTAGGCAATTAGATTTATTTGAATATGAGAAAACTTATCCATATTAAAATACATAGACATTGTGATGATATCTTTGTCTACATTCAAAGTCAACTGCAGGGATAGTCTCTAAGGTTTATTTAAACAAAATAATATGCTTTTTTCTGCATTTGGTTAAACGGACCTTGTCAAATAATGGTGATTTGCCCCGTTTTGCACTCGGAAGAGTGCCTCACCAATCACTTATTTGATAAACAAACTACCGGATTGAATTTTTGTCATCCACACAAAAATTCGGCTTTTATCTTTGCTCCATTCACGAAGACCCCTGCTGACCCTGCTCGTAAAACAAACTGCGCATCCCTGACCGAGGTCAGAGTAAGTGAAGATGTCGTCGTCGAAGAGATCAACACGTGGGAGAAAACGATCTTTAACAGATTCGGCGAGAAAACGTAACAGAAGTTTGGTTGTGTCAAAATATAATCAAGGCAGAATAGCTATAGGTGGTCAGTATGATCGATGGATGGAATTAAAAGAGACACTGCAGCTTAATTCGCATACTGATGTAGCAGAGTACTTGCTTGATCGGTAAGTAAAATAATGTCCATTTTCACAAAAGCTGCTAAGTAAATCTTGATTTCAGTATAAGTAAATACTAATAGGAATGAGTTTTATCTGATATTTTTTATCTAAAACTGCAATATTTCGGAGAGAAAATGTGGATTAACAAATGTAAACAATATGTAAACAAATCGGAAAAACTGATAGGGGCCCCCAGGGGATACACTTTCATTGTTAAACAAAGGAGAGGAGAGGGAAAAATAGAGATATAAAACTTTCTGCTTTATTAATTTTGTTTGTGTAATACAATGCTATGTGTACAGTATTTTAGAAAAGAAATTAGATTAATGATATTTTATTGAAATTAGATAAGTAGATCAATGTTTCAAATGTACTATATGCACATACATTTTGTTTATATAGAAATGAAATCTTGGCATTGGAAAGTTCTCCAAAGAAAGTAAAAACTACATTAAGTGCAGTAACATCAACACCAGGACCAGCAACTACAATTTTCCCACCCAAATTCTGAATCCATTAGAGTAAGTATAATTATTTAAGTTAATAGATATCATATAAATTAAAATTAGTTCCTTAATGCTTTTAAGATTAGATATACATCAGAAATACTTTTATTTGTTGTTACTGATATATATAATAGAATATTTCTTATAATCAGTGTATCTTATGGTACTTTTGTTTTGCAGTCTCTCAATCTGTTTATCAAAAAACTACACCAACGAGGAGTCAGAGGATTCATCAGATGAAGATTATGAACCTGGTTACATAATGACGATTAGGTATGTATTGCAAGGACACCTTGTCATTGTATGTCAGTATAATATATAAAATTACTTTCTTATTTTAATATTTTCAATTATCGTTACTGCATGTTTAAACATTACAACTTTTAAATTTTTCTAATCACTGTCATAAGAGAGGACACTCAGACAGAAGCCATGGTTGAGGAATCGGAGAACGAGGATAGCTGTGATGAGGAATCAAATGATGATTTACGCCCGGGGGTTGCCAAAATTTTAACTCAAGAGGAGATTGAGGGCTGTAAGGAAGATCATCCTTTCATTGTTTACCTCTCACAGTTAATAACATTAGCAGAATTACGTGTTCTGCCAAACTGCCAGTTTAAAGGATGCAAAAAAAAAAAAAAAAAAACAAGTGCTTTTGGACAAAGCTGTTGTTGGATCAGCACTCTATTTTTAATGGGTAGGTAAAAAATTACTTGTCAATATCATTTTTTAATAAGTACCGTATCATTAATTGGAAACAAATTATTTTCATATGGGTTAATTTAGCATTGTTCTGATGGACATCAAGCACAGCAGTGGTGCTCACAGCCTGTCCTAAACAGAGGTCTGCATTTAGGGGATTTGATGCTCCTCTCTTCAATTTTACTTTCTGGAAGCAATTATCAGAAGGTGTCAATGATGGCGAAATTCTTGAAGTTACCGATTGTGAGCAAAAACTCATTTTACAAAATTCAAAGGACATACTTGATTCCAGCAGTGGATGAATTTTGGACGGAACATCAGGACACTGTTTTTAACCAGTTTCAAGGAAGAGATATAACAATACTTGGTAGATATCTTTTAAATTATACCAAAGAAGTTATGGGGGGAAAGTTTATGAGAAAATGCTAATAACCTTATTGTCTTTACTTATCACGTAAATGTATTTATCATTATTTTTTCTCATATATATGTTTTCTTTTTTTTTAATTAAAGGAGATAGCCCAGGTCACACTGCTCAATATTGCTCCTATACTTTCATGGAGTATGACACCAAGAACATTCTGTACATAATTACTATGGACAAGCGGGTGACAGAGAAAAAAAAGCACGAATCTCGAGAAGGCTTGCTTTGTCCAGGGCTTGAGATATCTTCCCGGCAAGGGACTTCATATTGTTGAAGTTGTTACAGATGCACATGTGCAAGTTGCCTCCGTAATGAGTAAGTTTAAACAAAACAATCAATATGTATATCACTATATATGTAAATCACATGTACATATAGGTTATTGTATGAAATGAGAATGGTCTTTATTTGATAATTGTGCAGAAAAAGACTTCCCAGACATAAGACATTCTTCTGATATTTGGCATGGGACGGAAAACTTCGGCAAGAAAATCATCAATGTAACTTTAAATTAAGCATATTTGAATACTCTTATATATTTTTGAATATTAAATCTTCATTCAACATAATTGAATAATTGATATCTTTAGAAATATTTTGTGCAGTGTGTTTATTCATGTCTTTTGGGCAGGTCAGCAGAAAAACCAAAAACATATACTGTCATGGACAAAAGATGTTGTCAACCATTACTGGTATACAGCTAGCATCTCACACACAAAGTAGGAGTTTATTGTAAGTTTCCAAATGCAAAAAATATATACCTTGCAAAAGTGTTTCATACAATTACGAAAACTGGTCTAAAATAGATTTTACTTTTCAAGGAGAACTGGATAGGAATCCTCCACCACACAGTTAATGTTCACACTTGGGGTTTTGCCCTATAGTGACATTAACGAATGCAACCATGGACCACTGACTGAAGAACGTACATAGGGATGGTTAGAAAGGGATTCTCCAGCTCATGTGGCCCTGAGGGAGATTGTGTTAGATAAGCGTCTCCAGAACAATGTGACCTACTATCTTAACTGCAGGTCAGTTTGATATACATGAAATAATTATTGTAAGATCTTTTTTTGTTATATTGCTAAAAATAAAATGTCAGAAAAATTATTTACACAATCTAGGTATTTACAGGAGCACAGCAGAACTTGAGAATTTCCAGAATGTAGTGAATGCATATGCATCCAAGCGTCACTCCCACAACCCGCCATCATATAGGTGCAGGAATCGACTTGCTGCCTTGGACCATAACAACCACATAAACAGAAATGTTCTCGTCAAGAAAGATGGATCAACACAGTAAGCAATATATGAACGCTAGCCCATGTTTAATGTTGATTGTCACAGTTAAATAATAAACAATAAGACAAAATTTACAAAATACACACATTTCAGATATCAGAGGAGCTTCAATAAAAAAAGTGGAAGATGGTCAGTTCATCCTGTGAAAGAGAAGAAATTGTTTGCATATATCCCATCTCTGCAAAAGAACATTCTTTTGTCAAGAAAGTCAGATCAAGTAGGGATGAACCAACCCATGGTGCTGGAGGCAGATGATCCAAGAAGGTTGTCATCCAATCTGGCTCCACTCCCACCCCATCCCACTGAACAGCTTGTCGTAGAACAGAAGTCAAGGTTTCTAAAACAAGAAAGAGACAATTGACATGTTTATATTAACAATTACTTCTACATATAGAATAAAACAGTTAAGAATTTGAAATTTGTTGAGTCTTTTTAAACTGATTACATGTTATTAGGATGATAATGGTAACTCACTTTATCCCAGTCGTCCTACAATGAAACCTCTATATTGGCCAAATGCATCTGGGAACTTGTCCCTTATTCTCCAGACAAAACAACTAGGTATCACCCTTCGGTTTCGTGCACCTAGGTGACCATGATGCGAAAGGATAAATTGTCTGTAAGCTGCGTGCCTGTTCCCTCTGTTTATATCTGCATTTTGAACATGACGTTTATATCCTGACGATAAAGCCTTGCGACAACTAGTACAAGGTCATCAAGGACGACCCTTTGGAAATCCTGAAAATATAATCAATATTGAATGAGTTAATCTATACATTTAAATTGGCAAAATTTAAACTTTCTTCATCTGTATATAAGTAATTTGAATTTCTTACTGGAACAATTGAATAGCAATTTGTTGGAGTTTGTCCACAACAGAGTTTCTCAATTTCGGATGGCATCTCTCTGCAGTGGTTACAGGTTCACCAGCTAGGAATGCCGTCTGATGGTTGTGGGTGGTACCCCTGCCTTCTCTCATTTTGAGATGCCTCATTTAGAATGTCAAAAACAAATGTTGAGTCCCTGTTGCATATTGTTTGGACAAGGTTCCTCAAATTTTGCTCTTCAAAGTTTGATATAGCTTCCTAGAATCATTATACTTTAATGATAAATAATTTTTCTAATGATATATTTACATGCCATAAACAAATTGTATACATTGTATTTGTAAGAATGAAGGTTATTTGACTTGTCAACTTATTACATCTTACCCTAAGATGAGCACCTCTCTGCTCTCTTTCAACAGCAAGACTTTCCGCAACAGTCTCTTGGGTGATTCTTCTGCGGGCACCTACACCTCTTCCACCTCGCCCGCCTTTAGTCTAACCCCCCTTGGGCGTCATCCTCTCCCACGTCCTCTGCCACGGCCCCTACCCCTTCCTGAATCTGAGGAGGATGGGGATTCTGGGGAGGAAGAACTCTGTCTCGATAGATTGAAATTCTAAAATAAAATTAATATTATTTAAAAAAATAAAATACATTTTGATAAAATTAATTTGATTCATAAAATTAAAATGCATTTCGATATATAATCCTCATATGCTAAATATTTCAAATGTGAAAATATATATATATATATATATATATATATATATATATATATATATATATATATATATATATATATATATATTAGCAAACTCTCAAAAATTTTAGTCAAATAATTTTGCAGAGGTCTATTTATTAAAATCTGTATAAATTCAATAATATTTGATATACAGTGATATATGGAACACGTTTTTTTCTTGTAGATATGTACATGTATAAAGATGTACATATGCTTTATAAAATTAATGTATAAATTTATATTTCAAATTAAAAATTTAAAAGCTCAACTTCAATTTCAAATTTTAGTGTTTGAAGTCTTTGAAATTTATGTCAAGGATTGCAATTTGTAATTCCAATTTTTTATATAAAGTGTTATTTAAATTTTTGCAGCTTGTTATTCTTTTAAAGTTTTTTAAATTGTAAATTTATATTAGAAAAGGAGATTTTGGTAGTGTAACATGATTTTCTTTTTTTTTCAATCAGAAACAGAAAACCATAAACATCACTATACTAACTTTACTGTTGATCATAGATCAATTAACCCTTATGAGGCCCCTCACATATTATAATCCGCTGGAGGTCACTCTGTTCAAATGAGTTGTGTTTTAAGAGAAAAATAAAATTAATATAAATAGTAATTTTCTAGTATCATTTTAATATTATTCATGTTTTAAATGTAAAAACTTACCTCTTCTATCTCCATTCTCTGCTACTAAGCATCAAAAGTGCAAATGATAAGATGGTCATCATCTCCCTGCTGAGTCGGCTATCTTCGGAAATCATGCCGAGCAATAATGAGGGCAGTAAACAGACTTCACAGATGGGTGCTAGTATTTATTGATTCTGATAATCAGCAAACTTCTTCTGAGCTTGCAATTATAATGGAGTGTCCTAATTATGTATTTCACACATGTACATGCTAATTTATAGCACCCAAACCTTAGAAACTATTCCTTTAATGCAAGATTAAACACTGTCGATGATCAACCTCCCCCTACGCCTTTCAAGGACCTATGACCCAGTGCTATAATTGTTGAGGAATGCAGCATTAAAACGCACGTTGATTAAGAGTTCATCATGTTAAATGTTAAAACTACCTACAAACGGTGTTTGTTGACAAGAAAAATGCTCAAAGTCCCTATATGAGTTAATGGCTCATAAGGGTAGAGAACTACAGTAAAATACTTCTTTGTAAAATATAAAAAATCAAATCTTTCTAGTAGCTAGACGAAAGTGGAACTTTCTTTTAGACAATGTGTTGCATATATATATCTGCTCTATATCTACCACTGTTGCGATTAATTGTTGTGTTACATCTATAGTGAGATTTCTTTTACTTGTATATGAGACGTTATCAGCTGTCGGTGATAAAATTTTAATTCGCTAAGTATAGGTATATATAATACAAATTATCAAACTAAATAAAGTTATCGAAGGTAATTAAATCAGCCCATTGATATGTAATCTCTACATAATTCATGCACTCAATTTAACTCTCTCGATTTAAGAGTGTATTAGTTATATGGGGAAAATCTTTATTCCATAAACTCTTCAAGGTCAGGTGGCATGGTTTACATCATCAGGTAAATGCACCGATGATTGAATCTTGATAACAAATACCACCCTAAGCAAAGTGAACATGTAATGCTAAAATGAATGAAAGTTCGAAATTTTCCTCTTCTTAAAAGATTTTTTGTAATGATAACCAGTTACAAAATTTATAATCATTATAGAACAAATATTGTAAGGACATGGAATGAAAAAGATTTCGAAAGTCATAACTGTATCTTTCGATGACGTCAAAAAGGGTCGATGTGCGTTCAACAAATCACACTTATCACCGGTCACGGTAGCCTAGTGGTAGGGCTCGCTTCGTGATCGGCAGGCCCATTTTCGATTTTCGTTCGCCGCATCAAACCTAAGACGTAAACATAGGTTAGTGACTGTTTCTTCGCCAAGCGCCCGACAATAGAAAGTAACGGGTCTATATATATATATATAGATATAGATATAGATATATATATATATATATATATATATATAATATTGTTTAAACATCAATACTGATTCTCAAATTTAACAAACTCATTCAAGTGAAGTAAAATCAGCGTTCGTATGTGTTGTGGTCAGCAGCATATAAATGACGCATCAAATTTGACACTCTTTAAAAAAAGAATAATGAATTCAACAATCACATCTAATAATTTCAGCTATGCAAACCCTGATAAATCCCCGTAACACATTGAGCTCAGACTATCCTGAGACAAAGAAAAATATGTGTTTTGAAAATGAATGAAATTGTGAGATTTTATATTTGTACAGATTTTCTTCTCATATTAACCAGATTTAAAAATCATGATTTTAGAAAAAACATCGCACAGATATGGAACGAAAAAAGAGGGGACTCAGAAGCGTACATGAACAGAATCCAAAGCAGCTCAGCACAAGTCAATGATGTACATAACTATCAGGAGCTTGATGTATCTGTCAATAACGCAAACAATTATATTAATTTCGAATTAAAAAGAGTGTAAATATTTTAATGATATTAAATTCTTATATCTAGCTGAATTACCTTGATGTATTAAGTTTATTTTCTTTTTCTATTGGAAAATAATGTCGCTTGTACGACTAATTAATTCTTTTGCTCAACACAAACTGTTGTTCACGCTTAATAGTAAATCGATTGATTGACTCATTATGTCTTCAATTTCTCATGCACCTCGTTTGAACAAATGACGAATGATGGGGCATACTGTAGATTCCTAAATATACGCGAGGAATTAATTATCGCGTAATTACGCGAGACGCACCACTCGCGAAATAAAATTTCTCGCTTTTATTTTTATGGTAATGAAATCAATGTAAAATTCCTTGATCAACCGTCCACTCGCGAATTATTGTTCTCGCGATTTGACGTGAAAGAGCCATTTCGCGATAATAAGTACTCGCGAAAAATAAGGAATCTACAGTATTGGTGTTGTAAATTTATCTACTTCTGATATGGTCCATTTGTGTTCAATTGTTTCCTTTTGTCCGTGCTCAAATTCTAGTAAGAATTTTCTTTCTTTTCAAATTAAAGAAAAGTGCGCCTACATGCAGTGCACAGTATAATAGAAGTTCCGAAGCCAGTTTCACTGTGACAAAAATATGTAGGAAAGATATCATCACACCTTGTGATTTGGTCAAGCCATAATCTATCATTACCTAATAAGAATTGAATATATTAAATTTTCAATCAGTTCATCTAAGGAACATAATGCAAATGTTAATATATATAATTGATCGAATAAAATACATATTTTTTATGGTATAAAATAGCTTTATGATTATACTATAATATTTCTTCTTACCCCAGGACAAGTCGCCCTCGTGGCGCAGTAGTTAGAGCGTTTGCTCTAGAGTCGCAGAGTAAGGAGTTGATCCCACTGTGGGACGTGGAGACCGGTCCTTCGGATGAGACCGTATAAACCGAGGTCCCGTGTCCCAGTAGGTGCTGGCACGAAAAAGATCCCTCACTGCTCAATGGCCCTTATTGGCCCTGGTATTATTACTCATTACTCCGCGACTCTAGACCAAACGCTCTAACCACTGCGCCACATGGGCGATTCTGCAATATCGTAAAAATACAGTAAAGAAAATAAAATAAAGACGATTTTGACAGGAGTTTTAAAATCTTGTTTAAAAATTCTCACTTTTGACAAAATGTATCCATTGATAACAAGAGGCCCAAGGGCCTTGAATCGCTCTTCTGATAAACTGTACAACCTATCACTTCTATTTGAAGCCTCTACGTATCCTGTATATTTAGATAAACCCTTGAAATTCCAATTCACACTCTGAGAACCCAAGATGATTCTAAGCCAATTGGTACAAGAGAGTTGGTCATGGTGACCTACTTATCACTTATCATTCTCTGAGGACCCATCAACTAAGTTTGATGATTCTAAGCGAATTAATACCTAAAATATTTTTAAAATTATAACTTTAAAATTTTATAAGTCAAAGTGACCTACTTTTCAGTTGTTGTACTCCAAGGACCCAAGATGCAACACCTGACAAAGTTTGATGACTCTAAGCCAATTAATACCTGAAATATTTAATTGAAGCCATAAAATTTCAAAAGTAGGTCACGGTGACCTACTTTTCAATTGTCTTACTCCAAGGACCCAAGATATATCAACTGACAAAGTTTGATGATTCTAAGCTAATAAGTACCCAAATATTTAATTAAAGCCATAAATTTTCAAAAGTAGGTCAAAGTGACCTACTTTTCAGTCGTTGTACTCCAAGGACCCAAGATGCAACAACTGACAAAGTTTGATGACTAAGCCAATTAATACCTGAAATATTTAATTAAAGACATAAAACTTCAAAAGTAGGTCACAGTGACCTACTTTTCAGTCGACTTACTCCGAAGACCCAAGATGCATCAACTGACAAAGTTTGATGATTCTAAGCCAATTAGT